GATAAGCTTTTAATATATTGTTGTACAAAATGTCTACTAAATTATATTTACATATGCCTTTTGTTTACATCCGTTGAAGCGCATGCGCATTCAAATAATAAGGTGCGCGCACGTTTTCAGGACAGACAAAAACTGAGTATTGTGATAATAGATTACACGAGTTCTAATTTTTGCTGTTGTTGTTTGTATTTTACAAGGAAAGAATTAAACCGTAAAGAATGTATTTTGTTTTTTTTGGGGGGGGGTATCTTTGACGAATTTTCGACTACTTTAATTTCGTGTTTCAATAACTGATTACAACTATGCTAAAACAATACGATAATGGCTTAGGTAGACGTTAAAATTCGGTGTTTGTCCCAAAATGTCTACTGTATCTTTGCATTCAATACAAAACAAAGTCCCCCAGTAACTCAGTGGTAAGACTGAAAGCTTATAATGCTAAAATCAGATTTCGATACCCGATATTTGCATAGAACAGATAGCCTATTGTGAAGACTTGTGATTAATAACAAACAAATAAAGGATGCTAAATATTTCTCAATTTCGAAAGTTTTGTGAAACTACCAATTACAAACTAACATTGCTAGCCGTCCCTAATTTAGCATTGTAAGACTAGAGGGAAGGCAACTAGTCATCACCACCCACCGCCAACTATTGGGCTACTCTTTTACTAACGAATAGTGGGATTGACCGTTACATTGTAACGCTCCCACGGCTGAAAGGGCGAGCCCGTTTGGTGGGACAGGGATTCGAACCTGCGACCCTTAGATTGCGAGTCGAGTGCCTTAACCACCTGGCCATGCCGGGCCTGCCGAGAATACAAAGAGATTATTAGTTGGTCCAGAAGAGAAACGGAAGGTAAAAACATTTTAGTATTTCTTAAAATTCTGGTTTAAAATGTTTCTGTTAAACTTAACTGTTCATCCGATCATCTAATTTAATTTAAAGAATATTCTAGAAGACTGCTGCAGATAGCCCTCGTGTAGCTTTGCGCGAAATTCAAAACAAACAAACAATCGATTCCCAGCACATTCCAATTCTATACAAATTACTACACATCTCAAAACAAGTAAACGATATTTGAACTGTATTATACTTTAGTTATGACCAGACAAAACCACTTTTCAGTTCGTATTTTTTTGTACTAAATGGATATTTGTTAGAGATGGTTTTGCAACTTGACAGTTTATGGCATTCTTCTTTAATATGGAGTTTGGTCAGTAAGAAAATCAAGAGCAGCCTGCTACCAATGTTGGATGTTGATAAGGTCCTGATTATTCTTGATTACTCCCCTGAAAAAAAAGAGCTGTTTTGAGGCATTTTTAGCGTCGTAAAATCAATGTTGATAAAGTCCTTATCATCTTTGATAACTCCTCTGAAATAGCTATTTTCAAGCATTTTTAGCGTTGTAAAATCACTGTTGATAAGGCCCTCAATTATCCTTGATTACTACCCTGAAAGAGCTGTTTTGAGGCATTTTTAGCGTTGTAAAATCACTGTTGATAAGGCCCTCAATTATCCTTGATTACTACCCTGAAAGAGCTGTTTTGAAGCATTTTTAGCGTTGTAAAATCACTGTTGATAAGGCCCTCAATTATCCTTGATTACTACCCTGAAAGAGCTGTTTTGAGGCTATCTTTAGCGTTGTAAAATCACTGTTGATAAGGCCCTCAATTATCCTTGATTACTACCCTGAAAGAGTTGTTTTGAGGCATTTTTAGCGTTGTAAAATCACTGTTGATAAGGCCCTCAATTATCCTTGATTACTACCCTGAAAGAGCTGTTTTGAGGTATTTTTTAGCGTTGTAAAATCAGTGTTGATCAGATCTTTAGGTATTCTCGATCATTTAACTGAATGAGCTGTTTATTGAGTATCTTCATCTGGAGCCATTCCGTTTCTGCAAAAGTAAAAACAAAGAGGCACTCCGCACTTGGGATCGCCGGTGCATTATAAGAACGATGGTCACAACTCGATTAGACTAGCCCATAAATTGTCGGTGGGTGCTGCTGACTAGCTACTTCCCTATTTTTTATCAGTTCAAAATTACAAGCTATTTGTGATTTGTTTTGGACAAATTGAATCTCACTAGGCATCTGGTACAAGCTGTTTGTGATTTGTTGTGGACACAATGTATCTCATTGGGCATCTGGTACAAGTTGTTTGTGATTTGCTGTGGACACAATGTATCTCATTGGGCATCTGGTACAAGCTGTTTGTGATTTGCTGTGGACACAATGTATCTCATTGGGCATCTGGTACAAGCTATTTGTGATTTGTTGTGGACAAAGTGAATCTCACTGGGCATCTGGTACAAGCTGTTTGTGATTCAGTTCCAGTGTGCTTACATCTAATCATTAACAGCTTATGCCAGATGCCCAATGAGATACATTGTGTCCACAACAAATCACAAACAGCTTGTACCAGATGCCCATTGGGCATCTGGCATAAGCTGTTAGTGATTAGATGTAAGCACACTGGAACTGATTGGGCATCTTGCATAGAGCCAGCATTGTAAAGTCAGTGTCCAGTTGTAGACAGCTGTACTCCAGGAAAGCCACGAGCAGAATCCAGAGATAGTTTCATTGTCACTACATTCTTCTAATGACACTTTGAGGCATAACCAACTCGCAACAATTTGTTGTGATTGGCTGGCTTCCATTTGTCCGATGTTCCTTCGCACGAGAAAAACTTCCAAAAGTCTTCTGCAACGTCTAGCCACGGTTCCCGAACAATAAGGAATACTCTAAACTTTATGAATCATCGCACCATCATTGAAGTACAACTGTGTAATGACACTACATGTGTATACAGAAGTACATGTACTTCCGCAGGGTCCCCGAAAGTGTTCTGTTTCAAGAGTAAATAAAACCAAAATTAAGAGTAACAAATATCTTTAATTATTTCTTTTGAAGTTTATATGTCATACTGTGTTGTAGCCCACAGAGTGCAAAATTTTTCTCGTGGTTAATGGCATGCGGACGTTTCACTGACGTAACTTCAGTACAAATTGCAACATTAAGCGTCCCGTATGTACGTCATTTTAGTGTCTACTGACTTACTGACAGACAGCACGCTACTGTATAATGGTGCAAGTGATTAAAATAGGTAACTCCTTCCAGGCGACCTTCGGCCCCCTTTTGGGGAAATAAGTTGAATGACCAATCATTTGCACTTCAGAACACGTGTCTGAATATCACGGAGAATTGGGAGCGTGACTAACATTACCTTATAACATTTGCACTTCAGAACACGTGTCTGAATATCACGGAGAATTGGGAGCGTGACTAAAATTACCTTACAACACTTATTTTTGTCATGTCGTACTACAAATTATGATTATTCTTTAATTGTTTTACGCTGTTTAATTTTTTAAATGTTTAACTAGATTTAAAAAACCACAATTAAATACATACCATTATGACTGTATATAAAAACATATACTAGTGAATAAAAATCATGAACAAGATTGGCAAAGAAGTGTAGCAACCAATGAGATCATTACTTTAATAGCTTTGTTAACACACAGCTCTGTGGCAACCAATGAGATCATTACTTTAATAACTTTGTTAACACACAGCTCTGTGGCAACCAATGAGATCATTACTTTAATAACTTTGTTAACACACAGCTCTGTGGCAACCAATGAGATCTTTCCTTTAATAGCTTTGTTAACACACAGCTCTGTGGCAACCAATGAGATCTTTACTTTAATAGCTTTGTTAACACACAGCTCTGTGGCAACCAATGAGATCATTACTTTAATAACTTTGTTAACACACAGCTCTGTGGCAACCAATGAGATCATTACTTTAATAGCTTTGTTAACACAGAGATCTGTGGCAACCAATGAGATCATTACTTTAATAACTTTGTTAACACACAGCTCTGTGGGAACGAATGAGATTATTGTTTTAATAACTTCATCAATGCATGGGCTCACACCAACACAAACATAGTTTGTTCTTAAATTATTTGGGTCTTTGATCATTTTAGCAAAGGCTTTATATGCTTGCCCTTTTAATTTTTATTTATTCATTTATCATATTTTAAGTATTAGTAAATGGAAGAAAAGTGATATTTTATATTTGACTACAAAGGCACGATCTGATATGAAACCTACATACACTCGTTCATGGATGAGAAGAGAAGATGGTCCTTCATCCGCGTCCATACCGATCCTTGGAGGGTGAAGACAAAAATCAATAGCTGTAAAATCTACGTCCGTGCAAAGGTTTGGGGACATTACCTCTTGATATGCAGAAACTAGAGACTGTAGAGCCAGCTCTGTGTTTGGTTATTGGATGTAAAAAAATCTGCCTCTCAGAATAAAATGTGTTCTCAAAACATTTTGTGTTTGTATGTGTTATTAACTTCATAAAAAAATAAACGTAGTCGCTATACATATATCTGCACTCAGAAAATACCGTACTCGTAAGGGATGTATGTAAACTGATCGTAAAGATTACTTTAATATCTAATGGAAAATAGGCCTAGCATTATTCTTCATGTCCATACAACCCAGTTTCAGACCAGGGTATTGGCATCGGCTACTACCAAGAAAAATATTATTACAGTAACAACAATATTGTATTTCTATCATGGAACTATGATACGATTCCTATCGAAACGTTGCTTTAAATACTGTATCTTATTGAATTACTCATGAAGGAATGACATTATGTTTACCTCTCCCACTCCCAGCATCTTTCTTGAGTTGACAAAAATAACTTCTTAACGTATTTTTTAAATGACGTGAGCTTATTAACATAAATACAGAATTCAACAACGTCAGTCATTTATCTTCAACTGTATGTCATACTCCCAGACGTTTGTTAGGCGTTAGGCACTACCAGATTCGTGCAGATAATATTCAAGGCGCGGGTTTTACTAATTCGTACATGTATATAGGCTAAACGACAAGGCCTTCTCAAGAGCTCGAAATTAACCATAAGTACATTGTTATTGAAAGATTAAAAAATCAGACAAAACGTTTACTTACTGCGCAATAAACTTTAATTCCTTAAAAACGAGGGTGCAGCCCCCAAAACGTCTACATCTTTAAACGCTGCCATCATCACAACTAATGGTAATAGTAATAGTTGCAAATAAGACACTAAGTTAACAATAAATTTACGTACACTCTCCAGCGCCATCTAGTCCTCGAACACAATAAGTACACAAATATAAATCAAAGAAAAGTTTACAAAACCAAATTGCTTGTACCTCATTTCAAGAATACATAGACAAAAAAGAGAAGTGCGCCGCTAAAACATGTAGAGTATTTATTGGGGGGGGGGGGGCTACGTCACATTTTTAATAAACCAAATTTTATTTTGCAATACGTCAACGTTGTGTGTGTGTGTGTTTAATCTTCCATCTGTGCACAAGTGACGTCTAATTTAGTTAGGTTGTTATCACTGTTGTTATTAGTATTACATCAAATGTACTGTTGACTTTTATTAGTATAACATCAAATGTACTGTTGACTTTTATTAGTATAACATCAAATATATTGTTGACTAATAGGGTTCGTGGCAAAGATCGAGCCAAGGTCTTGGGAGCTTACATGATCCTTGAGTATCTATTAAACAAATAATTAGTAATCATAATTTAATTTAAACATCCTTTATTTACATAGTGGAAGCCATCTTCAAATAGTTATTAAAGTTGTGGAGACAAAGCGAGGTATGCGAGAGGGCTTGTGTTCGCGCTAGCCCCCAGTACCCAGTGGTTGAACCTTAATTTCTACAAAATACATGAACTGTAATAAGTAAGTAAGTAAGCGCCAGAGTAATTAACTATAAATATAGTCCATTAACCAGACGCTGCCTACTGCAGGTATCGAACGCCGAAATTTAGTGTCATAAGACTTATAGTTTCGAGAGAAAATCGGAATTGAAAAAGAAAACAAGAGGGAACCCTCAGTAGCCGCGTTACTTAAAATTCTTTTAGGAAGAATAAGAGTAAATTAATCTATCACACCTTTGTTTTCCTTTTTATTAACTATATTCATGTGCGCCAGCAATATCAAGCGTGGGGCGCGCGTATACCCGATTCGATTTTATTACTCATCAGGATCTCTACCAGCCTACCCTCAAATTTAAATTCTTTTAGGCAGGATTAGAGTAAATTAATTTATAAGACCTTGGGCGTGGTTAAATATATCAGTCGAAAGGGTTTGACCGCCTGAGTCCAAAACTGTAACTAGATCTCAAATCGGCCAAGAGATGATGGAGCTATGAGCTAAAAGTTTGTACTTAAAAAAAAAAAAAATTCAGAGTCATTATATGAGCCGTTACGCCGCGGCTGAAACACCTTTTTTGGGTTGAATAAAATTAATGAACCTGGAGGCAGAAGAAGGAAAAGAAAAGGAAGGAATAAAGATAAAAAGAAAATAAAGGATATTTTCAATCAACATCACAAAGAGTAAGGGGGCAGATTACTTATAATCAAGGGAATTCAGTATAGGTGATTATGCTTGACGATGTTCACTATAGTAATCATAAAGCCTTGGGGCGCCACATTGTGTTTCTCTACGTGCTGGTTTATCCTACAACCTATAACTCTTCCTCATAAGGCTACGTAATGGTTTGCTACTGTGTTGGATGATTCAGCTATACCTTCGACGGGAAATGAAAGAAACAACAAAAACACTAGAGAATTATTCTAGATGTTCTTTCTCTTCGTAAAATTACCAGAACATTCCAATCTCTTTTTGTCTTTCCTATTTTATTTATTTATTTTCTATTTCAAGACACGGACCTAGCTAGATTCAATACTGTACCATTCTAGCAGAATGAATTAATTACCATGTTAAATTATTCGTGACGTATATCGTTATGGATGGTATCTAGACTTTGCTAAATGTCTTGAATAACTATCGTTTGAAATCTAAGTTTGGATAATAAACTACGAAAGGGTACATCTGTACTTGATTTGGCTTTAAGGAAGTAAACGTTATCATCGCCAACCATATTAAATTGGTTTATTTCACATAATATGCCTCAAGAAACAAGAGTGTTCTTTCCTTATTTAAAGAAGTAAACATTATCATCCTCATCCATATTAAATTGGTTTATTTCACATAATATGCCTCAAGAAACAAGAGTGTTCTTTCCTTATTTAAGGAAGTAAACATTATCATCCTCATCCATATTAAACAGGTTTATCTCACATAATATGCCTCAAGAAACAAGAGTGTTCTTCCCCATTTAAGGAAGTAAACATTATCATCCATATTAAACGGTTTATCTCACACAATATGCCTCAAGAAACAAAAGTGTTCTTTCCTTATTTAAGGAAGTAAACATTATCATCCATATTAAACAGGTTTATCTCACATAATATGCCTCAAGAAACAAGAGTGTTCTTTCCTTATTTAAGGAAGTAAACATTATCATCCATATTAAA